CCCCTAATGGGGTCCCCACCCCCCCGCCCGACACCCCCGCCCTGCTTCCCGGGCTCCGTTGCCCCTCCTATGGGCCCAGGACTGGCTTCTTTGGTGTCAGCGGGAAGCTGGGGAGGAGATGGGTGAACCTCCGTTCTATGGGACCGGGAGCGATCCAGATTGCATCACTTTCTGTCCCCTAGCTGTCAGTGCTGGGCTCCTGAAGCCCAGCTATAAGCTATTGAAGTGTGATCTGCACTTCAATAGCTTATTTGGAGTTTAAAGGTGACACTGGGGGTCTTTTGGACCCCCAGCATCACCTTAAAGAGTACCTGACACCACCATCTGCTATCACATGGGGGGCTTGTAAGCCCCCCTATGTGATTGCAATTAAAGTAAATAAAAAATAAATAAAAATAAATACAATTAACATTGCATAAAATAAATCTAAAATAATGAAAAAAAATGCCAAAGTCCCCCGCCCCCGCGAGCATGCTGCGCATCTTCACCTAAACAGGCGTCGGGTGCGCCTACATATGAAAACGGCAAACGCGCGACACATGTTGGGTATTAAAAAAAAATTATCTAAGAGGCTAAAACTGTCGCAATTGCTTTGATAAATTCTCCCTGCACTGTTTATTTAATATAAAGAAAAGGTATCAAAATCTTGTTTTTTTCGGGGGGCCTTAATGGTTTCTTGCACCGGGGCCCTGAGGTTTCTAGTTATGCCCTGTGTACACAGCAGTGGCATAACTTTTGCCATAGCTACCTAGGCGTCCGCTATGGTGCCCTGGGCACAGGGGGCCCTAGCTAGGACGAGGAACAAAGGGGTCCCCCTGAGGCCCTGCGGGTCGCCTTGGTCACCATGGCATCGCCGGCTGCTGGTGGTCACTGGTGGCTGTAAGGAGGAAAGCGCCACTGTCGACATCACTGACAACCCGTGATCTGTGCAGCGGCACGTTCCTCCTCACAGCCGCTGCTGTGTCAGTGACAGCTAACAGCTGCGGTGGAGGAGGCTGGGGCACGGCAGTGAATTTGTTGCAGGATTCGGATTCGGACGCAATTCGTTAGAGGTAGTCTGTACAACTTTTAGTTTCCATTGGGTTTTCTTTACGTTGCAGTAAAGAGATATTTAAAAAAATATGTAAATGTCACTTTGCTGCGATGAAAAATCGTCCACAAACGAAAATACTTAGACTACCGCTAACGAATTTCGTCCAAAATGTAGTTTTCGGAAATTCAGGTTTGGTTTTCATTCGTCATTTCATTCAGAAATTTGGAATCTCCGAATAACGAAAATTAGTCCGAAATACTAATTTTTCTGAAACGAATCGCACATGTCTAACCCAGCCCCTCTTGCATACCAAGAGGGAAATTCAGTACAGAGAATAACTTTTCTATCAGAATTGAACATGCTTCATACAAGCATCAATTGAATATTTTTTTAAGTTATGCAATGCGAATAAGAAACATGTAAGAAATATAATATAGGTGTTCTGTGGATGTAGTATATCTGGATTTCTCAAAGGCTTTTGATACGGTACCACACAAACGTTTACTATACAAGCTGAGAGCTATGGGCATACATGGAAGGGTGTGTACATTTAGAAACAGACCAAGATAGTATAACATTGCAGGAGGACCTGGCTAAAATAGGGGAGTGGCAGATGAGTTTTAATGTCGATAAATGCAAAGTTATGCACTTTGGGAGTAAAAAATAAGCAAATGGGTTATACAATTATTGGTATGCCGCTAGGGAAGTCGGAAATGGAGAAAGATTTGGGGGTCATTGTAGACCATAAACTGAATAATAGATTACAGTGCCAGGTTGCTGTAAGCAAAGCAAGCAGAATCCTGTCCTGAATCAATCAGAGACAAGTCTATAATTTTGCCACTCTACACATCACTGGTTCGGCCCCACCTGAAGTATGCGGTGCAGTTTTGGGCACCGGTACACAGAAGGGATGTCCTTGAGCTGGAGGGGGTCCAGTGGAGGGCAACCAGACTCATCAAGGGGGTGGAGGACCAGAACTATAGACAAGGCTACTAAATTTAACCCCTTCATGACTGAGGCCTTTTTTTCATTTTTTTGTACCCATGTTATGTTCCACATTTTAGGCCTGAAAATTACTTAAAACCCCCCAACATTATATATTTTCTGAATGCCAAGACCCTATAGAATAAAATGGTGGTAGTTGCAAATTTTTATGTTGCGCAATATTAGCTCAACTCCTTATTAAACCCCAATATTTAGTGAAAAATGTAATTAAATGCCCCAAAACACAACAAAATACCAATTTTTTTAATGAAATATAAAAGATGAGGTTACAACGAGTAAAACGATACCCAACATGCCCAGGTTACAAATTGCGTGCATCCGTAAAACGGCGAAAAACCCCAGTACCCCAAGAAGTCCATAGAAGACGCTTTAAAAGCCCCCACAGGTCATCAATTTAGAGATACCCCAAAATACTGGCCCTAGAATTATTGCTCTCACTCCGGCGTGCGCGGCGATACCCAACATGTGTAGCGCGTTCGTCGTTTTCATACGTAGGCGCACCCGACGCGTGTTTACGTGGCGACGCGCGTGCTCGCGGGGGCGGGGGACTTTTAAATTTTTTTTTTTTTTATTATTAGATTTATTTTATTTCAATTTAATTTTAAAAACTGTTTTTTTTTTTTTTTTACTTTACTTTGACTGCTATCACATGGGGGGGCTTGCAAGCCCCCCCATGTGATAGCAGATGGTGGTGACAGGTACTCTTTAAGGTGATGCTGGGGGTCCAAAAGACCCTCAGTGTCACCTTTACACTGGAAATAAGCTATTGAAGTGCAGATCGCACTTCAATAGCTTATAGCTGGGCTGCAGGAGCCCAGAACTGACAGCCCAGGGACCGGAAGTGATGCAATCTGCATCGCTCCCGGTCCCATAGAACGGGGAGGGGATCGATGAACGGAAGTTCGTCGACCTCCTCCCCAGCTCCCCGCGGACACAAAGATCGCCGGTCCCGGGCCCGTAGGAGGGGCAACGGAGCCCGGGAAGCACGGCGGGGGTGTCCGGCGGGGGGGGCGGCCCCTTCTTCGGGACGCAGAAGCGATCTGGCGACAGGTAAGTCGCCAGGATCGCTTCTGTTGTAAAGCCGACAGTCGGCTCTACAAGTTTAAACAGAGTCCCGGCGGCAAAAGTCACCGGGAGTCTGTTTAAACAGCCCCGATGCTGGCGACGTACACTGTACGTCGTCAGTCATGAAGGGGTTAAATATGTATACTTTGAAAGTAAGGAGATTAAGGGGGACATGATTTTCATGTACAAGATGTTCCATAGTCATAGCGACATTAGCAACAAACTCTTTAAGATTAATTCCGTAACAAAGACTAGAGGCCACCACCTAAAACTGGTAGAAAAAAAAAATTCGAACACAAGGGGCTAAGGGGGTTCTTCTCAGTTCGCGCGGTTAGGGTCTGGAACTCGCTGCCCCAAGCAGTGATTTCCGCAAATAGTCTGGAATCATTCATTCCTGAGAGACCATAATGTACAAGGGTACAGGTACTCTTAAGAATGAGATGACTCAGGGACCTATACACACACACACACAATAGGTTGGACTTGATGGACTTATGTCTTTATTCAACCTCAAATACTATGTAACTATGTAACTATGTGTTATCTCAATTTGGCTGTGAAAGTAGAAATATATTTTAAACATATGGCACTGGTCAATACTTATATAGAAACTATCAAATTATAATGAATGTGCTGCGCAGCGCAGCACATTCATTATAATTTGATATATTCAGAGGGTAACACTTCTCATAGTGCTTGCAGCTACACAGGGTTTGGCGCGAGGTGCTATTTATCACTTATATAGAAACTCCAGGATTTAAAAAAACCTACACTGCAAAAGCCAACTACTTATTTTGTCTAGGGGAGCTTAGCTTAAATAAAGAAGATACACTCACCTGATCCTCAATCCCGCCTAACTGATAGACTGGTCCTCGCAGCGTCTTCTCCCCTGGTCTAAGGACCGCTGATGTCATCACATCTAACACAGATCCATTGACTTGCATTAGATGTGAGAATGCCGAGGGACATACCGCAGCCGGAGTGGAGCGGGAGACAGGTAAGTGCTGACTGCAGCAGGACCGAGGATCGGGTGAGTGTATCTCCTTTATTCCACCCCCTAGGCCAAAACAAGCGATTAACCTTTGCAGTACGGGGTAGCCCCACTGCAAGGCTTAATTTTTTTTTTTTTTAAAGATGGAGTTCTTTAATTGATGGTGCTGGCAATATACTTTTTGCCAATGCTGCAAAAACTGATCACTATAAGGACTTTCCTGTGGCACACCAATTTCAGTATATGGTATGTATGTATGTTAGGTTATGATGCGGTACTCTGAGAGAAGTGATACAAAATAGCAAAATCGTTTTATTAAATTGTAAAAACAAAACTTTAATCTTTACATCTTTGCTAAAAAAAACCTTATCAGCATCATTTGTTCCCTGCAAATACATAATACATTCATGTTGGCAGTGCTTTCTTCATAAAACAATACAAACAGTTACATTTTATAACACATATGTAGCAAAGAGTAGTGCTAGTAGAATCAGTGACAACATGGCACCCGTCTGGGATATATCATTAGCTGCATTGGGTGCTGGAGGTATGTAGGACAGGGCCTTTGCCAAGTTAGAAGGTTCGGACCTTTGATTGACTTTGTCTATAGCAACCAAGGCAAAATAAAGGGCAGTGCCATTTTTTATAGTAATGTTCTGTGGAGTAAAATTGAATTGTTCCATGGTGCCAGCTGCTAGTGGTATGAGATCTGAGGTATCGACTACTGTGCCATTTTCAAAGTTGTATAACAGTTCTTCTCTGTTGTGACTCATTCGCAAGTCATATCTGGAAGCTGTAAGTAAAATCATAACATAAGTACAAATGTGCACTCACACTGAAACATATTAATGGAGAAGAGATCATATAGAATTCTAAATGTCAGAATAAAGTACTTTTTTTTCTCACAATGCATGTGTGAAACATTAAAATCAGGCACTCCCTGTATTGCTGAGCTCAGCAGTTTTTGACCCTCTTTTTACATGGGCACTGTCTGCTCTGCTCATCAGGGGAGCCATGCACCGATTCCCTGCTGAAGGGATCAGTATGGAACGCATGTCACTCTTGTGACACCTGTGGTCGTTCTGCACAGACCCATGTTAGGTCTGTGGGGAGCTGGATATGAGCAGATGTGCCCCATTACATCAGATTATTTCCAATCCGTCATGATCAGGTCCACCAAAATGGAACTCTGTTCCATTTTCTTTTCCGCACCTAGATAGAACCGGGAGTAATAGGCTCTAAACCTGGCAGTTTTTTCGAGAGATCTGATTGGAAGTCTAATGTTACTCTATGGGTAGCCGGATGTAAAAAGATTTACGTCTGTTTAGATCCTATTACTCCCGATTCTATCTATGTTCGGAAAAGAAAACGGAACAGAATTCCATTTTGGCGGACCTGATCATGACGGATTGGCGGTAAGTTGTGATGTCATGACTCACGCCACCCATTTGTTTACATTTGGGCCAGAGCTGTCATTTTGTGGGGGGATTTCGGTGGTATTGAAGGGGTTGGCGGCCCTTTTTTTATTAAGGAGGATCTACATCGCTGGACGACATGATTGACCTTTCGAAGGGCATTTTTTTGTTACAAAAAACATAAACTGTCTTGTGTTTTTTGTTCAAATAAAGGACTTTTTCAAGGTGTTGAATAAGTAAAGAGTAGTTTGCTATTCACAAGGAGGGGGAGAGGCATGTGGGTACCCCTTATATGAAAGGGGGCACCCAGATTCCTAAAAGCCCCCCTCCCTGCAGACCCCCAAAACCCTGGCAAAGCGCCCTTCCCTTGGCAAAGGCATGTGGCGTGGTATGGTGCAGGATACACGGTCGCCCCCCCCCCCCTTCCCTGCTGCTCGGATTAAGAGTCTGGTATTGGACCCCAGGATTTTTTTCCTTTTTCTTGGCATTGGGGTTCCACTTAAAATACCTACTAGACCTAAAGGGCCTAGTATGACTTTGGAAAGTCATGGATATCAGGGGTCCCCCCTAACATTCCTACCAGACCTAAAGGGTCTGGTATCAATTGGGGAGATGAACCCCACACTTTTTTGAACAAATTCTATTTCATTACACTGTTTCGCTCCACTTCAGCAGACCATTGTCCTCACTCCTACTGTTTGTTTTGCTTTACTGCGCAGCTGCATTTGGTTATTTACTTCAGCTGCTGTACCTGCTATTGAGAATAGCACATAGAGCAGCCATTCGGTTCGGCTGAACTGAATGCTTTCTGTCACTGGAGCAAGCCAAAGGATTAGCCGAAAGTTTGGCTAAATCCTTTGGCTCTTTAGTGAATAACCCCCAAAGATAAGATTAGAAAACACATTACACATACGATTTAATACATACCATTTCCCTGATCAAGATCATCTCCAGTAGCAGTCCAAGACAATAAAACTTGCTGGCCTTGAAAGGTTGCACTTAAACTCATAATTTTTCCAGGTTTAAACACATCTGGAAGGGGGCCTGATGGTACTTCAGTTACTATGAAGGCACCTCCTGAAGCTGTTCGTGTGAATTCCCCTAAAGTTAGGTTATCAGTTGTAACTTTTGGCTTTGGAGGGTTACTGATTATAATGCCTATGTACAATATAAAAAAATATGAAGGTATTACTATAAAAATAAAGCCTGCAATCCTCATTTTACCTAATTCTAACATACATACATATGTTAAGATACATTTGGATTGTTTGCTATAAGAATATGCAGTGAGTCGGGGAACCACACCTGTGCTTGCTAAAGTTTATAAGAAGGGGTCAATAGCATTTGCCTCATGTGCATTTACCAAAAACCTAGAACCTATTGACTTCAGGCTGAGGTCTGCAGCTGTCCCTTAAAACTTAGCTATGAGAAGGGCCACCCACCCAAGACATCATAAACTTGCTTGTCAGCTATAATAAGCAGATCCTACTGCATGCCAATTCTGGAATCATGTGACCAACGCCTTTGGCCACAGGGTCTCTAAGTTAATGAATGTCTATATTTTTTTATTTTCAATATTTGCTAGTGAGCTGTGACATTCTTACCATTCTCAACATAGCCAGGCAGGTACAATGCCTGATGCTTTGACTGCGCCAGTTTGGCATTTTTGCTTTTACTTTCAACTCGCACTTTCAAACCATATCTACCATTTCCAGTAAAGTCTATAAAGTATCTGGAATAGATTCCATCATTCTTGATAATGTCAGCTCCTTAAAAAGAAAATGAAATTAATATTTGGATTATTTGTAAAGAAACCACAGTTAGTGGGATGGCATACAATTCAGAAGTGCAAAGCAAATACAGTATATCACATTATCTTAGAAACTCTTTTAAGCCTTGAGCAGGCAACCATCGTATCAATTTTCTGTAAAACATTACATTTTATAAAAGTGGCTTTACCGAGCCATAAAATGCATGCAATTCACTTTAGTTTTAATTGCTCTAGGCCAACTATGGCATACGGCACCAGTGCAAGTGTAAAATTTGTCCATAGTACATATGTAATGATATTTACAATAGCACAGTTATGCTAGCCACACAAATCGAAGAAACCAGTTTCAAAATTATTGTCCAAACAGCTACACAATAATATGTAGCCCATCACACTGCATTTAACCTCTTTGTGGCACAATATAGTGATGGGTATAGCACTGATCAGCACTGTATAGTATAGCAGCAACTATCTCTCTGTCAGCTCTCCCAATTTACTCAAAGTCTCCAACACACACTGACTGTGTATAGCACCACTGCATATAACACTTTTTAGCAGCACTGTATAGTATAGCGGCGCCAAGCTCTCCTTGCAAACACTCTGTAAACTCTACATATCTAATCTAGGTCTCTGCAACACGCACTGACTTTGTATAGCACCACTGTAATTAACATTGTGCAGCAGAACTTTATAGTATAGCAGCAACTATCTTTCCCTGCAAACACTCTGTCAGCCCTTCCTTTCTACTCCAGGTCTCCCCAACGCTCACTAAAAGGCAGATGGGAACCCTGAGTTTTATAGAGAGGGGGCTAGGACACAAAAAACTTCCATTATTAGACCTTCAAAGCCACCTGGCCACAGTTCAGAGGGCTGGAAATACTTTACTGGTAGTTGGCTGTGGTGAACTGCCACACCATTTTCCTGAACTGTGAGTGACTTGGGTTTAACTAATATTTGATGTGCTTCACGCAGCACATCCTTACTTGTCAGCCAGCACCTATTTCCTGTACCAGATGGTTGCCCATGTATGACATAGCAGTATGAGGCCTCATTCAACCGAGTACATGGATCTGTACATCTATGCAGGGGGCCGATTTTTTGTGCCAGGGGAGGTGCAGCTTCCTTTTAAAATCTAGACCGGATGCGCCTGCATGGATATTTAACCACATCCCAATGTTTGCATCATACAGGGACAGATGCATAGCACTGAATGCAGACACACTGTTTGCGTCTGTCCCCATATGGAGGTAAAAACTGGGATGTGTGTAAAGACCCGTGCAGCCGGTCATTGAGTTGAACAGGTGGCACAGAACATATGTGCCTCCCTGGGTACATAACCATGGCCCCCTGTGTAAATGAGACCTAATTCTGTGCATCTGCAGAGCTCCTGGTGTTTAGATAAAGTGACCACATATATCACCAGGAACTGTTTTCAGCATATGAGATTCCAAAATTGGAGAAAGGGCACTGCACTTGTGTTATTGCAACTGTAAATAGAAACCAAGGTATATATTAAAGACAGCATGAGAAACACAAAGGTCAATGCTTCTTCAGACTTTATAAGAGTTTATATTTTAGGCTGGGGAAAGCTAAGTGATAGAGGGTGCTTCAGTGTTGGGGAACTGTATGGGACTGTATGATCCGAACTTCTTCTTAGCTCTGAAATCCCGTGCTGAAGACTTTTTTCCTCAGGCCCTGGCACTAAAAAAATAATGGGCCATATTCATCAACATGTGGGTTGAAGCAATAATTCCTCAAATGTCTGATCATTTGAAAAAAAACAGACCCCTCTGCAAAGCCATTGTGTCTTATATGTAAAAAAAAATAGCAATGTAATTGTAGAAAAGGACAGTTACCTGCACCATTGTCTTCAAGTTGCAAGGTTCTTATCTTCCCATTTTCCGGTTCTATTATAGCAGTAACATTTAGCCCTAAAACTGGGGAAAAACCTTGAGTCACTGTTGCATACACAATCACTGGGTTGGGGAAGCGGCTTGTATCTGCATTTAGATATGGCTCAACAACAATTGGTGGAACTTTTGAATCAGATGCTCGAGAATTCACTGTTAAACCCAAAACCTGGGCAGCGACTTCATTGTTGCAGATCTTGTATTCCCACTGTCCTTTCTAAAAGAAAACAAATTCACTTTGGATTATATTTGTACATTAAATGTAAAGCATACATATACATTGAAAAGCAACATTTTTAAAAAGAGTAAAGTAGCCAGGGGACCTTAGAAATTATATCCAACCATATTTATCATCACAACCTTTGCTACTGCATAAAGAATGCAACTCAGGAGATCTGTGAATAGAGCCTATGAAGATGCAAATTTATGGGAGGTGTAGCAGCACACATATAGCTAATAGTCAAGTTACATTTTTATTTATCCTGAGAGTAAAGGACAATATCCAACAAACTTTGGGTGCTGGTAGAAAACTAGACTGAGAAAGTTCCCCTATGAAGCTGTAGGTGTAAGAAGGGGTATGACAGGTGCAGTCCAAAGCTTTAACATTAGGTAAGTATAGGAGTCTGAGAGGGAGAGGTGGGAAACTCGGTTGGTGGAGTAGGAGGGAGGATAAGGCTAGATACTGTAGGATGGGTGGGCTACTTCTGGTGGTAAGAGATTGGGGGTAGTCTTCTTAAGCTCGTGTAGGCAGGGAGCCATTTTGTAGTGGAAGAGTAAGTGGAGTAAGTCCCACCCTCCAATTAGATATAAGGGTTTGGTTGCCGTTTTAATGGTGAGTACTAACTTAGCTGGGAAGTAGAACTGTACATTTCCATTGGCTAATGTAGTTTTCTTCTAGGTGTCTTTACCAGACGGGCAGGTCCCTGACAGTACTATAGTTTCTACAATCAAAGTCTGGCTGTCCACAGAAGGAACAGGGACGAAATGTGTGGAGGTGGAAATGGTGGGGTTACTGGGGCTGAATAGCTTTAGTAGCTGGGGAGAGAATTTATGGAACTAACAAACTTGGGCTTGTTAACAGGTGACCGGTGGTTGGTGCATTGTTATGGGGTCATGATACAAACCTCCATAACAGGGAGTGATGTTTGGCACTTGTCAGGAACCTTAGATGACACACATTTTTATAGTTTTAATTTTGTTGCAATTAATAAGGGTTATTTGGTATGGTTTAGAATAATGTATGTGTTTTCCTTGTAATGTTCTGTTATTGTAACTTATTATAATTGTACATTGCTGTGGCCATTCACTTCCAATTTTATATAAACTTGTTCATTTTAGTTGCTTGTGTAGTGTCTTTAATGTAGGTGGGGGATGAAGGGTACATTGGAATTGCATAGGGCTGGAACTAATAATTATTTTCATAATTGATTAGTTGGCCGATTATTTTTTCAATTACTTGATTAAATGGTAACAAAATAAATAAATGTTATCCTTAATCTAAAATAAAATACACAAATGCAGTGTTAGAAACCTAAAGCTTACTTCAGAATAAAACTGCATACACATTTTTTGGCAATCGAACTGCACTGGAACGCACAGCATTGCGTTATAGTGCGTTCCAGTGTGGGTGATCACACTGTGGGTGGGAGGTGCCATTGAAATGAATGGCACTGCAACGCACCTCCTGCAGTAGAATTTGTCAGACTGAAACTGAAAATTACTTTTTTTTTGCTACTTTTTATAATTTTTAAAAAATAATTGTATTGTAAGCACATGGCGCTTGAATAGCTTCATCCAGGGAATGACAGCTGCCAGTGGTAATATTCTGCAGGTAGTGGGCTGGTGCAATAGCCAGCCTGCTATTGGCCATTTCAAATTACAATAACCAATAGCAGGCTGGCTATTGCACCCGCCCACTGTTTGCTGTGCCCTCTTCTTCCAGCGTGGAGGAGGGAGCAAGGGGATCCAACCAACTAATCGATAATGAGAATAGTTGACAACTATTCTCATTATCGATTATCGATTAATTGATTAGTTGGTTGCAGCCCTAGACTTGCACCAAGTCATGGGTATCCTGGAGTAGATTTCTGTTTTCAGATTAAGGACCTGCTCTGGTCACCCGTCTAGCAGCTGCTGGATATTTGGAATTATAGCCTTCTTTTAAAATGTAATCCTAAATCTTGTTAGAGTATCTGAGAACATAATTTTGTTTAAGCCCAATTAAAATATCTATATTGGGTGCAAAGGGTTTAAGTACTGCTCATCAGATTTTGAACAGCCAGCTCTCTCAGAAAGCAGTGTTGAGGCATGGTGATGTCAAGGAAATGCCAAATTACAAGGAAGCTTCCAAATAAAGTGTTTTTCTTTTTTTTTTTAAGCCATTTGTATTTGGGAAGGTGGGGACTGTGAGTGAAGAGGATCTACAATGTAACATTTTCACAGAAGGTCCACTTGCAGCTCTTAAACTATTTATTGAATCATAGCACACCCACCTTGGCCATTATAATTGCTAAAACACTTAGACCCTTCATGCTTTAAGATCGGAAAATTTAAATAAAATATATAAGATAAGAATATAAATGATTTGCAAGTGGGCCTGCAAATGAGTTACAGGTGAAAAAGTGCAGAGTACAACGAACCCCAGGAACACAAATCCTGAAATGTGCTTGAATTTGAGAATTAAAATGTCACTTTTATACAGCGTCACTAAATTTCCCATGATACATCTCTAAAGCTGACCATATACCTATAGATTATCTGCAGATTTCTATGGTCAGATGGATGTATTGATGGAGGACTCTCCCACTGGGCCAAGCTCCAGTATGGCTGTCAAAATACCTGAACAATCTGATTGGATGCAGGCATTGTTCAGGTATTTTGAGAACCAGCAGGGACGACTAGCAAGATACTGAAGTTTGGCCCAGTGGGAGATTCCTCCATCCACACAGTTTAGCATAGATGGAGGAATCTGTTGAATTTTTTTCCATCTGACCATAGAAAATCTGCTGATAATCTATAGGTGTATGGTCAGCTTAAGAGTAAAGAGAAAAGCTTACCTCTGCTGTGCCTGGGATTGTGAGACGAGCAGACTTGGAGGCAAGGTCACTTACAAATTGATTAGTATCATAAACTTTTCCCTTAGGATCTGTTAGACTGATTGTGGGAATCCCACTTTCCCAAGTCACTAAGAAGAAAGTTTCATTCCCCACAGTGTTGTCAATAGTCACTTCGCCTGTCAGACATTTGAACGCATTGATTGTTGTAGCTGTACTTTCAATCTGTTCACAAACAAAAGAGAACACAATACACAAGTGACATAATACTTATAATACTCTCTGAACTTTTATATCTGAGTAATTTAAGCCCAAAGTGCACCATATATTTGTGGGTTATAGATAACCCCTGTATTGCCACTGTTTATATATGTTTTTTTCTGGATTTAGTGGGAAGAGTAAGAACCTCCGTCAGAATTTAAGTGCTATCTGGGTCTGCATTGGGGACAAGGACATAACTAAAGCTATAGCAGTCTAGGCAGCTTCTATGGGGCCCATGGCATAGAGTGGCCCCATCCAGATCTGCTTACCATTTACTGATCCACCAACCTGACTCAGCTTGGTGCTAGGTGACTATAAAAGGAAAATCTGCTCTTCTTTGGTACAGAGAATAGATTCAGAGGAGGAAGCAGAGTCTCTGGGAATATGGGGGGACTTCTTTAGAATGCATGGCTACAGCTAGTAAGAGTTCAATTACAATTGCCACCAGTATTCAGGGATATAAAGCAGTGTCTACTGTCGGCGGTACAGAAAGTAAGGGGAAATACTTGGATACATAGACAGCAGCAGCGCGGAAGCTCTGTACTGTTAGCATATAGGGGGCATTAGCCCCCTATATGCTGCGTTTTGGGTCACAGGAGGACATTAATGTGTCCTCCTGTGACTCTGAAGAGAACTGTGCCCCTCTTAAAGTGGCACTAAACTCAGTTAAATCTTAAAAATGCATTCAAGTACCCTAACTATTAACAAAACTATACCTTTTTTTGTGCATCACTCAGCGCTAGATCCTCAATTCATCTCTGAATTGGTGCTGACACTGTCCTACCTTCTGGAGGGTGGCTACTTTTGTTCCCCTGTGTGTGTTGTAAAGTATCCACCGTTCAAAGCTCAGTCCTGTGATTGGCTACAATCTCAATACAAATTAATACACTAAACTTGACATTGTAGTCCATCACAGCTGTGAGCATGGAGCGGTGGCTACTTTACAACACACACAGAGCAACAAAAGTAGCCACACTCCAGAAGGAAGGACAGTGTCAGCACCAATTCAGAGATGATTTGAAGATCTATAGCTGAGTGATAGACAAATAAGGTCCAGTTTTGTTAATAGTTGGGGTACTTGAATTATTTTTTAAGATTTAACTCCTGAGTTTAGTGTCACTTTAAGAGGGGCACAGTGGTATCATGCTGGAGTCAACGGGATCCTGGAATTCCCCCCTTTCTTAGGGACAGTCCTGTTAAATTGGAGACTGTTGGGTGGTTAGAGCTAGATTTTCATTACATGCTGCTGTATCTTTCAAATCTATTGTATATGTACATATGAATCAAAAGTAGGTATAGAGGCACTCATGAGTCTTGCAGCAGAGATAAGTCAAACATAAGCATTTTATAGCCAATCTTTCAGTGGAGAATTCTCTGTGAAATCACCGCTACTGGTTGTGATCTTGCTGAAGGCGTCTATAAAACCGTTGGCATCAATGTAATCTGACACAAAATAGTTTAAACCACCTAAAAAAAAAATCAGATGTTTGTTAGTCACAAAACATTATTTATACTAAAAAAAGTATAATGTATAGTTTAAATTAGGTACATGGGAAATTTCTTACTTACATAGATAGCCTAGAGTTGGGCTTGAAGATTTCAAATTGGGGGTTAAGTTGAAGTTGAACTCCAGCATTACCCTCATAACAGGAGTACAGTCTCTTCTGTTGTACTAAAATGTCTTACTCTGATTTCACTGCGCACTTTGAGCTTTGCACAATGTGAATTAGAAGCTGCAGCAATTGATGAAATTTGGCTTCAAAGGTAACTATTTTAATTGCTTGGGAACTTATATCAGACCACCAATTCAAGATTGATAATAACTGGTCTAATTTTTAAGATTAAGGTTCGACTGCAGTGGTGTCCACGTTCACCTTTATATCCATATATCCACCATCCACCTTTACATCCACCCAATAATAGTTGGTTGCTCCTAATTCTTTTGTCTTAAATTGCCGTGTAACAGTACTGTCTCCCTTTCTTTTGTAAAGTGCTATGCAATCTGTTGGCATTAAATAAATCCTGTATGATAATAATATTAATAATATCAGTGCTACCATGGTTAGATTTCCTTTAACTTGGCTCTTGAAAAATGATATCTTTATTACCTAGATTCAAGTGTTTGGAGTTGATAGCCATAGCAGACCGCCTTTCTTAGGGACACTTTGAATGTCTGGAATCTTTTTGAAAATATCAAGAAGAATTGAGAACTTGTTTTATTTGCCTATTAGAGGAAATGCAAGGTTTATACCAGGAATAACATAAAGTATTTGGTGAGTGGGGTAGATGGGGCTTCGCCTCACTATTGAATGTTCTAGATGAAATGGGTAACATCATTTAATTTGATGTGCTTAAAGCAGTACTAGGCCACCTTGGCACTCCAGCTATTGTGGAACTACAATTCCCATGAGGCATTGTAGGACTCTGACAGCCACAGGGATGACTCTCAGGGGCATATACATGAGGGGATGTGTAGTGTCACCACAGCTGGATTGCTGCGGTTGCCTAGCTTAGAGAAAAAACTGCCATAAATAATAGTCTATTTTTTTCCTATAGGCATATAACAGACTATATGGATATGATAGAAGTGGAATGTTTGAATCCAGGGTAACCGGAGTCTAGTTTTAGAAAATCTTCCAGTTACTGATGGACTAGGGACGCTCCCCTTGAGGTGCATGCTGTATATGAATGAATAATTCATCTTAACCCATCAAAAAGTAAAGGATTTGTATAGGAAACAATGGAGGAGTAGCTTTCCTGATGTGAGGGGATAATTGTGGGAATTGAGAGAGCTATATTTGAAACTTATTAATAGGGCCATTATTTCTACATCTAGATACTCTACATGGAAGTGCGGGGCCCCTACTATATATTTATTCACATACTATTCAACTGTAGGAAAGTAAAGAGGCTTTGGGGAAGGGATGTCTAGCCCTGTCATTGAAAATAATTGAATTGCTACCAAGTAAGGAAGAGGTTACTGTTTTAGCTGTTTAATGCATTATATTTAGTGTTTACACTGCTAACTTAAAAATGGCGGATTTCCCGCCATGATGATGTCACGGGGAGGTGATTTGAAGATAATTGGTAAACTCCTAAGGGGTATATATGTGTTTTTTTATATGTATGTGTTGTCACATCTTTTCGCCCTGATGAAGTGGCCCCGAAACGTTGGCTTTTTTCATTGTGACGATCTGTCCAAATAAATTGACATGTTGAATGATATTACTGAGTGCTGATGATTCCTGACTTCTGCCTCTACTTTAGCCTGACACCACCCATTAAGTTTTTTTTATATTTTCATAACTCCTCCCAAGGGACAGTCCACTATTTGCATCAGCGCTGTGGGTTGTTGAGAAGAGTATTGAGGTAGGGTGCTGCAATGTTTTCAGGAAGCTATATACAGAACCCTGCCACCAGCCATGATCGGCCTGCATTGAACAGAGAATCACAGAGATCCAGTGATGATGTCACTGGGTCTAAAATAAAGAATATGATGAAAAAGGAAATGTTTTATTAAAAAATGTAACGTAATTAGCATGTTGATGAGGGGTGAGGAACAATGCTAGGCCTAATATACGTACGCAGCTTCAAGTTCAGATTTAAGTATTAAGGGCCAGGTATTAAGTGTTTAGGGGAGTAAATGTAAATCCACATATACACATTTGTGAATCATAAACCTCCCTGCCAGACAGCATAACCAGCTGCTTAGCACCACTTTCTCTGTTTAGCTTTTTAAAATGCATTGTGTCACATCTTTGAGCCCAGCCTGCTGCCTAAACTGTGATGAACCACTAAAACACTGATAAGTCATCAATTGTGCTTACTCTGGTCTCTCCTCCTGCCAGCATGTTGCTAATGTTGCTATAAACCGTGTACTGTGAATCTTCCAACCTGGGATTTAACCTGTAAATTCTAGGGCTGCAGCTGTGGTCTGATCTATAGAGTTTATACCTTGTCTTATATAGATCGATAATACCCACCTGTTATGCTGGATAATTGTTCTAGTCCTTTGTCTGCACTGACTCCTAGAGCAACAGTATGAATGATTGCTTCACTTGCTCCCACTTCATTTAAACAACTATGGATTGCTTTGTCCTCGCCATCTGTTAACAGTACAATCTCAGTTCCATGCGTGCTGCCATCATTCTTCTTGTTAACCTACATAGGACAAGTAGTTTAAATATTTTACACATTAAGATAGGAATTTAAACTGAGAGTATTGAAAAAAAAACTATATCTAGATATCTCATTTTGTAATTCAGGTAAGTGAGGATACACGGGATCTCTTCTTAAATACTGAACTATTCGTCATTGCATTGCAAATCTTTTTCTGCATGGGAAGCTATGCCCTACTTATAGTATTGATTGCAAAACTATAGGAGGTACTGTATAATATGTAATGAAGGATAATCAAGCATTATCACTTTATGCCATATGTCATTGTTAGCATGTGGTATGTACAGTAATATAATATGATTAAATCCTTCACACACATGACTGCCCATGGAACAACATCGTGTGGTCATTCTAATCCAGTGTAACTCAACATAACTCTTCTACCACTCAGACTGCCATAGAGGAGAAAGACGTGAATCCACAAGAGCCAAGACAAAGTTCTCAATTATGAATTGAGATACATATTTCATACTTTGCCAGATGCTCTAAATAATGTATTGATGACATGAGGTTACTTTGTGAACTGTCAGTATTTTCACATGATCAAAGGTTTGCTGGCCGGAGATTGCCTACCCCTGGTGTAGGGTATACTTTTCATCTAAGCTAAAGTTATGGCCGCTTTAGGCCCCTTTCACACGGGCTTATCAGGAGAGGATCCAGGCAGGGATTCCCTCCTGATCAGAGCGGTATGGAGCAGATGTCTCCGGTGTGACATTTGTGTCTGGAGGACAAAACTGAACTTACTGGAGTCTGTGGTAACTGTGTCTCAATGGAAGCCCAACTGTTTAGATCTGGCTGCCTATAAACTGACAGTGGGCATCCAAAACTGACAGGCGGACCTGATCGGACAGTTGCTCTTGACTCCAAGATCCTTGTGGTGAATACACCAGTGACAGACTCCCAGTGTCAAGAGCTTATGCAATTAGTGGTGTCCCTAGATTTATCACCGCCTGATGTGCAGGAGGGGATGTGTGGATGCTGCACATTATGGGGGGTTGGGAGAATGTGTAAATGTTGAGGGGGGGGGG